ATATATATGCTGAGCTGGTGATGAGCTTTGGGCTTTTGAGCAGTGAATGGGAGCGTGGTTGAGGGCGAAGGGAACCTCGGAGCCTGTTCTCAAGGAGGGTTCCCTGGAGCAGGATGCCCATGAACCGTTTACCTCCAACACTGCATTCCTTCAGAGTGACATTTCCAAGGGGGATTTTGCTTGCCTTGAGGTCATTTGCTGCTGCTTGTGGCTGTGAACGAAGCCAGGACCCATTCTGGGAGATCCCCAGATGCTGAAGTGGAGAGGATGCTCTTTGCAAGCCCTGTCCCCCAGCCCTTGTTTGCTGGCTCAGGCACTCCTGGATTCCCCCTGCTCTGTGGGAAGGGAACAAGCAGCTGGGAAACTTCCCACAATCCAGAGTCTTTGAAGGGGGGGGGGGGTTAATTAACCATTGCCATTGATTTATTGGTGGCTTTAAGGAAAATAATCTGCTAATGCAGGAGCTTAATACAACAACAGCAAAACATCTGCTAAAGAGCAAAGCCAGCCCCTGTTGTGAAAGATGCTGCCTCTTCTGGGGCATGCACCCAACCTGGGCTGCCCAGGCAGTGGCCACCAAAGTGCTGTCATCATTTGATGGACTCCAGAGCCCCTTGGGAAGCAGTGAAGATGATGGGTATTGTTTTAAAGCATAAAGCTCAATGGGATGTTGTATTTGCTTTGTCAGACAAGCAGCCTGTTAACAAAGCACCCAGGAGGAGAACAGCACTGGTTGGGTTTTACTGTTTTATCAGTGGCCTGTAGCAAACCAGCTGTGACAGACAAACAACACAGCTGCTGGAGGCAGGGAATTCATTTTCTCCTCCATCCTGTATCCTTTAGCTTGATTCCTTTTGGGGTGTTTGGTGATGTTAGTTATAACACTGAGCAAATCCAGTCCTGGCAAATGGGGCCCAGGAGACAAGCCTTATGTTGGTCTGTGTTTGTGAAAGGCTGGGAAACAGCTTGCAGGAGGACCAGGGATGTGCAGAGGGTAATGAGGAATTGCTGTGTTCACTTGCATCAGTGCAGTGACAGTGCAGTGTCACCCCAACCTGGGGCTTGGCAGAGGTGAGGGGAGCATTTCCAGGTTCCCCATGAGTCAGGACCTGACAGACCGGTTTCTCTGTGGGTCTGTGGTGCTGCACATGAATATGGGTGCAGGGCCCCATGCTTGCACCAGGCAGCTTTCGGGAAGAGCTGGAGTGTAAGGGCAGTGGTGAAGGACCTTGAGTGCTGCGTGAGCACGAGATGAGCTTTTCCCAAGGAGTTACGTGTTGGTAGCCAGAGCATCCTGTGTGCCATGCTGGGAGGAGCAGTTCCTATCCCAAACAAAGCCAGGTGCTGCTGCAGCATTGGCTGAAGCAGTTGTTGGCTTGGCTTTGCTCTGGATCTGTTTCCAGCTGGATGCATGGGGAAGTGTGGATGGGTTTGGGAGGCCTCCCTGGCAAGGGATGTTTCCTCTCTCGTTGTCAGAGTGATGGTCACTCTGTCCTGACCTGTCTGCCACCAGGCAGGGTTTCCATCTGCAAGCTTTTCCCTTTGGGAATGTGGTGGTGGCACAGGGCTGAGCATCGTGGGCAGCACCCAAGCCATGTGGGACCCATACCTCCAGGGACAGCCCCGTGTGGAGCTGGGGCAACCCCTCTAACTCTGCTATGTTCCTTGCTCTCCTTAGGAGCCCGGTCCTGCTAAGATGGCTGTGACCAGCAGCAACATCCCCAGTGCTGAGAAGGTCCCTGCCACCAAGTCCACGCTTTGGCAGGAAGAGATGAGGGGTAAAGACCAAGCAGACGGAGGCAGCAGCATCAGCCAAGCGCAGAGCACAGTGCAAGGCCAGGCTGGGGCTGCCAGCTCCCTGAAGGATTCCGTGCTGGACAGCAAGGAAGGTGAGGGATGGGGATGGTGTGATGCTGCTGTGACCTGGTTTGAGCAGCTGAGCTGGCTGAAAACCACCATAGAAGGAAAAGTTTTCTGTGGGTTTGGTTCCTGGAGCATCCCAGCAAAGAGAAGGAGGCAGACCTCTTCCCTGCTGTGTAGGGACCGGATCAAGGCATTACAGGGTGGAGTTTAAGAAGGAAAAAGTGGGCATCACATGCTGGAAACCACAGTGTGGAGCCCAATCCTGCCCCAGCAGGGAGATGGGGCTGCCTGCCCTCAAAGGTGATGTTACCCTCATGCTGGGGGCAAAATGAAGGGGGAAAATGCCTTTTCTAGCCCCTCCACATCCTAGCCTGGGCCCAGCTGCTGTGGCTGCCAAACTCTATGTGTCGCTTCCTCCTCCAGGGCCCTGTTTACATCTGGTCTCCCAAATGAGTCCCTGGAAGGTACCGAGGCCTTGACATTGTTCTCCCTGGAACAGCAGGGGCTGGGGACAGGTCCCATGGTCTGGGAATGTTTCCTTTGTCTGCCTGCTTGGGTGGGGGATGCTTCCCACCTGCTCCCGGCTGCCAAGATTGAGGTGTCCATTGCCTTGTGCCCATGGAGCTGTGGTTGATGCCAGGCTGGGAAGGACAGGGATGGAATTGCAGCTGTGATTGCAGCCTTCCATTTCTTGGTTTGAAGGTTTAGGTTGTGTAGTGATAGGACAATGGAGAATGGTTTTAAACTGAAAGAAGGTAGGTTTAGATTAGATACTGGGAAGAAATTCTTTACTATGAGGGTGGTGAGACACTGGAACAGCTTGCCCAAAGAAATCGGGCCGCACACCTGGAAGTGTTTTAAGGCCAGGCTGGATGGAGCTTTAAGCAACCTGGTCTAGTGGAAGGCATCCCTGCCCATGGAAGGGGGTTGGAACTGGATGAGCTTTAAGGTCCCTTCCAACCCAAATCATCTGTGATTCATCTGTGCAAGCCCAACCCAACAGCTGGACCTGCATCCCCGGTTCCCTGTCAGACCATCCCACCACCACCATGGGCACGAAGGGTGGTGAGGGTGGAAAAGCCACGAGTGCAAGAGGTGGCACAGCATGGGGCTGGGGCTCTCATTTCCTGTCCCTGTCCTGGGTGGAATGAGGGTGATTTTAAAAGCAGAATCCAACTTGGAGCCAAGTTGGACTCGAAAGCGATCTTGATGCCTTCTGTGTCCTTTAGACGAGAGCTGCATGAACGGAGAGCGAATAGACTGCGGGCGGAAAACTCGTGTCGAGAGCGGATACTTTTCCTTGGAGAAGACCAAGCAAGACTCGAAGCTGGAAGAGCAGCAGCTGCCGCCCCCACCGAGCCCCCCCAGCCCCAGCACCCCGAACAACAGGTACAGTTATCCCAAATCGCCCTCACAGGAGCATGCCCAGCCCTTTCCTTCCCCAGGTACCCGAGCAGGCGACCGAATGAGTCACAGCTTCTCTCTGAACTCCTTGGATTCGAAGAGCACTTGCCCCACGCACAAGGACTCCGGCAGCAGAGATGTAGGAAGGGGAGCTGAAAAATCGGGGCGTCCCCTTTCTTTTAAAGCCAGCCGGCAGTACACCACCCTGGCCGACGTTCCCAAGGCCATTAGGATCAGTAATCGGGAGGCCTTCCAGGTGGAGAGGAAGAGGCTAGAGCGGAGAACCCGGGCCCGTAGCCCTGGGAGAGAAGAAGTGGCCCGGCTCTTTGGCAATGAGAGAAGGTAAGGGATGAGTGGCTAAACTCCTCTTTGCATGCTTGCGACAGCAGCGAGGCTGCATCCCTGCTGCAGCCCTGGATGGAATCCCTTTGTATTCAGTGCTTCTGGGTTTAAGGATGCTCATCCACACCGAGTAGGAGGTGGGATGTCCTTCTTAGTGCCAACAGGCAGGTATTGCCCTGCCTGGCTGCTCTGGGGGTGCTTGGCTGAGGTGGGTGATGCTCAGTGGCTGTATTTGCAAGCAAGCCCACCTTTCCTTGTCCCCTCCCCAGCACGGCACACGCTGGCAGCTGGCACCATTAACTAGGTTAGCTCTCTAAATGGTGTTAGTGCCAGGTGCCTTATGCAACTGCCTAATGAGCTGAGAGAGGTTGCAGAATGTCAGGGCATTAATCTGGGAGAGGAGAGGCGGGTGCAGTGCCAAAGCAGGGCTGCAGAACTGCTTAGTGTGGAGGAGGACAGGGAAGGAGAGCATCCACACACACGCCTGCTCCACGCTCCGGCATGTTGCATGCTCTCCGGGCGAGGGACAGGCTCGTCTTGCCCTGGGAGAGATGGATTTGTGCAGGGAGGGCAGCAGAGCAAACCAGGAGACAGGCCCCGGGCGAGAGGGCCGCCTGCCAGTCTGATTCCTTTGCCCTGGTTTTCCTCCGGGCATGTTCTCTCTCGCACAGTTTCAGCAGGCTCTTCTCTGTTTCTTCCCAGCCCCTAAAGGATTGTTTTCCAGCCTGGCTTCTGAGAGCTGGAAGTGGGTCTGGGAAGTATGGCACAACTTTGTGCCGGTCGGCAGGAGGATCCCAAACCCAGCCCAGCCCTAGCAGTGTGCGCAGCGAGTGCTGGACTGGGAATAAAGGAACCAAACACAGGTTTGGCTTTCTCTGCCTCATGAATTAGGCTTTCCCCAGGATGGAGAAGGATGCCATACGGGTCACTTGGCCACTTTGGCTGGAGGCAGGGCTGAGAGAAGGCTAGTGACTGCTGGTTTGCTGGCTGTGCAGTGTGTTGGCTCAGGTGTGGGTCTGAGAGCATGGGTTTGCTTGCACAGGACGCCCTGGCCAGCACCTGTCCCAGTGTGAGAGGACAGCGTGTTCCTTAAGTCCTTGCTCCAGCCCTGGGGTATGCTGCAGCACTGGGATCCAGCATGGAGCTGGGATGTACCAGCCAAGGGCAGGGAGGAATGGATTTACAGGCAGATAATAGGCCTAGGAGAGGATGCTGCTGGCATAGACTGTCCTTTTTTAATGTCAGCCCCATTCAGTGCCTCCTGGCGGGTGCCTTTTCCCAAGGAAAGTCTGTTTTCCCAGCCCAGCTGGGTTCCTGGACCTGTTATTAGCTTTTTAGTGCTTTATCAGTAGGGCCTTTTATCAGAGCAGGGTGGGTATAGGGAGAGGAGCAGGCCCTGCAGGTCTTGCAGCCCATGGGGCTGAGCTTTGACCAGTGTTTGGGAGGGGAATGATGGCAGAGAGCAGCTCCAGCACCATGCCAGAGCATGACCATTCAGCAGCACCCTGCTCAGCTTGGCTTGGCTGCTTCTTGAATTGGAGTTGACTTAGTCCACGTATCCCTCTCACTTTATTCCTCCAAGCTCAGGCTGTGCTCTTTGAGGTTGAGCAAATACAATAACTCACTTCCATGCTGTTGGGGTCAGCTTTTCCCTTGGAGTTTAACACCATTTCTCATCATCCTTCTCAATAACCCACTAACACAACCAGAAACACTTGCCTGAAGTCACTTGCCCTTATGCCAACCCCGTAGGCGCCAGCCAGGCATGGTTCAGATCTGCCTTTCATCCCTCAGTGCAGCCAAATGAACTTGCTTTGATTCTGGTGGCGTTTTTGGTTCTTCCTCCCCTTTTTCCTTTGTTTACCCACCATAAATCAGTGCGAGTGTCAGAGCTATGGATGGGTACCCCGTGGCACACCTGCAGGCTTAAGCTCCAGATAAAGCCGTTTCCAAGGCTTCTTGTCCCGTTCCCTTACAGTAAGAGATAACGATGTGACTTAAATCCAGGACTGGGATGGAAGTTTTCCATGTTGACCACTTATACCTGAGGCTGCCTCCACGCCCCGTCTGAGCTCGCAGCCACTCAGAGCCAGGAATCTGGAAGCAGGAGATCATCTCCAGGATTTTGGCACAGCAGCAGAGTGCGAGTTCCCTCTGCTGGCACGTGGCAGGACGGGGCTGCCGTGCCTCCACATTCCCATCTCGCACCCATCCCTAGGGAGAAGGAGCAGGGGCAGCTCTTGGGAAACCTCGTGGATGAATCTTGAAGCCTTTTGGCACAGAGAGCTTCAGGGATGTCCCCAGCCAATTGGTCCCTGTATCCCAGTGGATATCCCAGCAGGGATAAATCCTGGCACATCTCAGGAGGGTGGGAAGGAGACCACCATCGGGTGGGGAGTCCTTGGGGTGCAAAGACCCGGAGCCCTTTCCTCATGGAGCTTCCTGGGAAGCGTTGGGATTTCTTGTTTGGCAAACTTGGCTTTTCTTGCACGCTTTCAGGGATGCAGCCTCTAAGCCTGTGCGTTTTCCTGGTTGACCCCGTGTTCTGCTCATGCTGGCAAGAGTCCACTGTGGCATCTGCTGTAGGAGCATGGTCAGGGGGCTGAGGGTCTATTTCTAGCCTTGATAAAGAGCTGCCTGAAATCGCTTAAAAGACTTTCCTTTCTCAAATCCCTTCTCTGGAGCTTCTGGATGTGGCAGGCTCTGCTCTGAATGCTGCTTTTACCCATAGAGGAGCGCCTGCTTTCCCAAGTATATATATCTATTTTTCCCTTGTAAAACTAGCTTCTTCATTTTTGTGGGCCTTTGGGGAAAATTGCTCTTCCTTTCCCTGACACTCGCTGTCTTTCTTGCTGCTCAATAATGAATGAATCCAATAAAAACAAACCCTTTTCTTCCAATCAAAGAAAATCACTTGAACGATAGCTCGTGCTGGTCTTTATAGCTTTCCTTCCCACCCCACACCCCCCTCCACCTCACAGCCCAGATCTGCAGCTCAGGTTTAATGGCCTGGGAAAGATGAACAGCCTGCATGGCCGAGGAACCACTTGGGATGAGCTTTGTAGTTGAGAAAGCACTGAATGGCACCGCAGCTTTTCAAACGCTTCTTGGTACCTGCCCGCGGCCTTGGTTTGGCAACACAGAGCTGCTGTTGGGAGGGAGCAGCTCTCCCCTTGTGATGGGGAGGAGAGGACAGCCCTTCCCCTCCCCATTCCTTCAGGATCTCTAGCAGTAACCTCTCTGAAATGAGCTAATGGGAAATAAAAGACGATTCTTTCCTGTAATCCGGATGATATTAACCCTTGGGCCTGTGATTTGATTGCAGTGATTTATTTTTTTCCTCCTCCCTTTTTTTAATGACGAATTACTGGAATGATTTTCATTTTGTTTTATATGTAGATGCAGAGATATAATTTCCTCTTCTGTTCATTCATTTTCCAGCCTTATTTTCTTCCAGGTCTTGTTGCTCTCCACCTTCTCCTGCTGTGTTGCTGTGTGACGTGTCCACCTTTACTTCGCCTGCTTCGCTACCATCTCATCTCAATCTCAAGCCGTAGAACAACCTGGTGGTGCAGCCCCTTTCATGAGAAATCAACCTGCTTTTGATTTTGTTTTATGGTTTTATTTGGTTGTTTTGGTTTGGTTTTATTTTCCTCCTGATTTTGGTTTTCTTCAGGCCTTCACCTAAACAGGGCACAGACAATGTTAATTCGTGGAGCTCTTACTCCCTCCTAAACTGAAACTCAGAGAAGGCTGGGCCGGTGTGAAAAAGGTTCAAATACTGTGTTCCTAAAGCAGTTCCCCATTTGTTGGTGGATGGAGGATGTGGATTTATGCTTCATAGACTGGCTTATGTGAATGTGCATCTCATGAGCAGAACATCCCAGTGGGATTGGGAGCTCTGTGCAAGCCTGGGATCTGCCCGCTCGCACTCTGCAAACTGGGAGGCAGCAGGAGCTGAGATGATGTCCCATATAAACGTTATAGAGGTGTTTGGATTTACAAAGCAAAGTCTCCCATAACCGATTTTGTCCCTTCCTCTTTGGCTGTGGGCTTCAGCACCCAGTCCTGGCAGCCTGGCTCTGAGAGCAGTGGGGGGCCCCAGCCCCCTGGGGGATGTGATGTGCTCAGATTGTTGATTTCATTGATGGAATTTGGTGCAAATATTGGTTAAAAACTGAATGCTTCATGGGTTTTGAGCCCTGAATCTGCTGTTCTTTCTCTGGGAAGTGTGAAAAATGTTATTTTTGACAACCTGTTTCCCCTCATGTGGTTGCCAGTGTGGTTTTCTTGCACATTAGAGGTTTACACAGAGCAATCAGCCCTGATTTGAGATGCGGCACAAGTGGGTCCAGGTTTTGTGTCTGGAACCCACCTGGACTGAGCTTTTGGGGAGGTTCAAAACTGAGCTTTAAACCCCACAGCTTGGAGCTCAGCTGGCATGTGTGGTGGTGGTGGGTTATTGCTTCATGTTCCCATGTTGTGGTCAAAGACCTGAGGTTGATAGAAGAGACCTGGGCATGCAGACTTAAGACACCCAGTAGGTCCTTTGAAAACTCCACTATTTCCTGTGGGTCAGCAAGCAGCTTTCTATGCTGAAATGGTGCTTTAATTCCACCTGCAAGGCTCTTTCCTAGGAGCATTCCATTTGGGTTTGGTCTGGGGTTGGCTCCTGTTCTGTTCACATTTCTTCGTAGTTCTCCTCCATCCTCAGAGACATAAGTGCCACAGTGCAGTGGGTCACCAGGGCGGTATCTGAGATCCCAAGCAGTGCTCCCTGCTGTCCATACTGCATTTGCAGACCAGTTTGAGAGGAGGATTGAGCTCCATGGTTTTACAGGGGATGCCCTAGTGTGCCTGTGCAGGGTGCTCCTCATCTCATGCCTCTTCAGCTGGTCCAACCTGCAAGGCAGACCTGTTGTCCAGAGGCACCTATGGACACCCCTCTCCCAGTGGAGCCCTTTGGGTGTTACCTGTGTGAGGCTGTTTTTACAGGCTGTCTATTGCAGTGAACACACAGGGTGACCCACAGGCACCCATTGCCTCTGCACCCCAGCTGGGTCTGATGTGTCTCTGCTCTGTGGTCTGGGGAGGGCTGTTGATAGCTGCAGGACTGGAGGGCAAAGACAAAGCTTGAGCCAAAGCTCAATCCCAGCCTCTCAAAGGGCTGTAAAATATACATGTAAAAAGCTATTGCTGGTTTTGCAAGGGGTTTCTAGGGATTTAAGAGGATACGAGGGAGGTTTTGTCCCCACTTTCAATGATCCATTGTCAGATTGGGGTGGTTTCCCCTGGATTTGTGCCCGCTGCGGCATGCAGAGAAACGGGGACCAGAAGCGCGGTGTCCGTGAGCACTGGGTCAAGCACTTGTGGGGTTGTACAGCTCAGCTCAGTTCCGGGATTTAAACCGGCTCTGGTTTCCCTTTTCCTGTCTGTTTTCCAGGAGATCCCAGGTAATTGAGAAGTTTGAGGCACTAGATATTGAGAACGCAGAGCACATGGAAACGAACGTGTCGGGCGGTGCCGCCCTTTCCAGCGAGACGCGGCAGGGCAGGAGTGAGAAGAGGGTTTTCCCACGGAAAAGGGTAAGCTACTCATCCCAAGTCTTGTGGGGTTTGGGAGATGGGATCTGGCAGGTTTAGCTATAGGTTTAGTTATACAGGGTTTGTCCCTGGGTGGAGAGGGGAACTGGATCACAGGCAGGCTCATACAGGAGCCGGACCACTCTGTGTGCTCAGTCTGTGCAGGTTTGCTGCTCGCTGCTCTGCTCCCATGGCCCAGCTGGAGGGTGGTGGAAAACCAGGCTGTCTTTTCTCCTTCCTCCAAAATAGAAACAGGGAAACTTCAGATCTGCCATGGCAGGACACAGCAGGATGGGGCGAAGTAACAAAAGAAACGGGGAGTTTTGAGAGTCCCAGATACACTTGGATATATTGGGAACACATTAACACCTGAGAGGACAAAAATGTGTCGCCAGTGCAATGACACTTGTTCTGAGCCTGAGATGCCCCTTAGATAACAGGGATTTTTATGCCATGAGCCAAGAGAGCAGGACTCTGTCCTAGTTCCTGCACTGATCTGGGCTAACGCTGTTCACACAGGACTTCACTTGTGAAGCTGCAGCTGTGGGCTCCATCCTGGACGTGTCTGCCTCTCCTCTGTCCCCGCACCGTCGGGCAAAGTCACTGGACAGAAGGTCCACGGAGTCCTCTATGACGGTGAGACAGCAGGGCTGTGTCCTCTGCCCTGGGGGAGGATGTGAGAGGCCCTTCCCAGGCAGGTCCCGTGAAAACTGGGCTGTCTGCTGCTTTCCTCATAACTAGGATGTAGGATGCACGCAGATTTGGAGCAGGTTTCAGTGAGAGTCATAGGGGCTCAGCTGGAGAGAGCTGCACTTCTTACTTTTTTCCATCTACTGTTTAAAAAGGAGTCCTTTTCCTTCACGTACAGCAACAGCTTGGAAATCAGCCATTTTGGTTGTTATTTTTCCCTGGAATACCCCATGTCCTCAGTGCTTTGCTCGATGTGTTAGACACTGATGCTGTAGGTCACCCCTGAGGTGCTGGGGTCGCCAGCCAGAGCTCCTCTTTGCCCTGTGCTGTCTCTGGGTCATGACTGATGCATCTTCAGACAGAGGTAACACGTGGCTCAGTTTTCTAATGCCACTACCTTGATATTTGTGCAGTTGCAGGTGAGTGTGAGCGGGATGAAGGCTGTGAGGAAGGGCCAGACGTCCCTCCTGAGCTTTCCTCCCTTTGCATATTTCAGATGCTCACCAGACCTGAAGGCAAACAGTACAGAGCAAACACAGAATGCTTTCCTCTCGCTCACCACCCTTCTGTCGGAACAGAATAAATACACTTGCTAATCTCTCACAAAGATTACAGAGCCACTGTAAATACAAGCTGCATTTTTTGTGGATGGGCGACTTCCATTCAAGGACTTGCAGAAAAATGCAGTGGCTGAGTCCTCATGTGGACTTACACAGCCATAAGAGTGATTGTAACTTCTTGGTGGTAACAGAAAGGTGCAAGAAGTGCGCATGAAGTGGAAATGCACAGCATCCAGTGAAGGCAAGGAAGTCAGTGGGAAGAAAACCATTTCCTTGCATTAAATACACCTTTATTGTGCCACTCCTGCTAACAAAGTAGGAACATAAAAACCTGCATGCCTGCTTGCCTTGCAACCAGGATTGCAAGACTCTCCCCTACCCATTAAGTTCACTGTGTCAGATCAGGTTATCCATCAGGATAAAAGCCAAGGGAGAGTTCATCCCTTGTTAGGCTCTGTGAGTTCAGCAGAGCTGGGGCTTTGCTGCATTGGGTATCTCTTCCATCAAGTGCTTCATCTGAGTTTGGTTTCTGAAGTCTACACCCTTCAGTGGCAGCTGGTCCCAGACATTTCATGCTGGAGCAGCTTTGCAACTTCGGGCACAGTCTGTGCTCTCCTGTCTGCCTGAGGAGAGGAAAGCAAAGGGATTTCCATATGGAGCAGGACCTACAGGAGAAACCTTCTGTTCCTGGTGTTTCTGTAGTATCTCACTGCAGCCTGCTCTGAAACATGCATACACTGCTTAGCAGCGTCGCTCCTCTCTGCCTGCTTCTACAGCTTGGCTTAAATCTTAGGGAAACTAAGAGGTGAGTAAGAATGCTGCTGAGGAGAGGTTTATCTGCTTTTCCAGAAGATTCTGTTTATTCCCAGTTGATAAAAAACAGGTGAAAACTAACTCTTGGAGTCCTTCTGTTTTCCTTCTCCTCAAAGTGCATAGTTGGGAGCCAGTTATCCTTGATCCAAATATAGATTCTTTTCTTGATGCTCTCATATAGTACAAGGAGGGGCTTCAACAGGATCCAGACCTTAAGAGCATGATCCCACTTGCACTTCGGCAGAGAAGTGGTGGTGTTGCTTTCAGGATCAGTTAGGGCTGAGATCAGGATACCCAGCTTTCAGCCTGCTTCAGAGATGGATGTAGTCATGGCCAATGCAGTATTCTCTGCAGTTTGTCCATGGCTTATTGCTGCCTAATCAGCAGCTCCTGGCAGGCCTCGGTGGGTTTATTGCCTGCAGCCACATCCCAGCCAGGGCTGCTCCAGCTGGTGTCTGCCTGTTCCCTCATCCTGTTCCACATGCATTCATGAAGGGCAGTATGGCATTTACTTCCCCCCGTGTTTTTGTGGAATGAGGCTGGGTACCCACCGCGATGGGAGCACCCGAATATGTGTGCTTCACAGCATCGGTTTGATTGAACAGCCTTCCAGACCCCAGTTTTCCATTGATCCCATTGCTGTACCCTGTCTCAGGCACTACAGCTGCATTTCACGCGCTGCTGTCCTTTCCTCCTCCACTCTGCAGCACATGGAGCAGCTGGAAGAGCTCAGCCTCGAGGGAGTGAAAGCATTTCCACCACATCCTTCCCTGCACATGGGCAGGGCTGGGAGTGAGGGCTGGCAGGGGTTATCCCACGCTGCCTTGGTTGCTTTGCTCAGGGCTTCAACATCCCAATGCATCCTCTTTGGAGTAAAGAGCAGGTCTCATGTGGGTGATGCAGTGCTTGGATCCCCTGGATTTCCAGCCTTGCTTTGAACCCTGCAGCCTTGCATCCACAGCACACTGTTTTTCTTTCGTAATATATAATAGAGGGACAGAACTGCCTGCAGTCTTGCTAATTCCTTGCTGCTCCTTCCTCTGTAACGCTGGTGTAGCAGTAGGAAATTGCCAAGGGGAGTGCTAGGAAGAGAACAGCCTGAATAAACTGTACAGCAAGTCTTTGTTCCTTCTGGGAGCAGACATTTAGCCACCACACAGTATAACGATCCAGTTTGGACTAGTTGACCTTTAAAAAGGTCC